AGTGATGCCTGAGATGGAAGCAGAGACGATGACATGGAGAGATGGAGCTGTTGGGAACTTTAGACACAGAGAGAAAGAGGGGCTGTGTGCTGATGACTGGGGGGCATGCTTGTAGTGTATACCCTTTGGATGGCTGATGATGAATGGAGGGGATTGTAACCATGGCAATGAAATGATACACTATAGGATGAATGTAAAACGAATGTTCTCCCATGTAAACTATCACATAATTCACAATAAAACATTAAGGAAAAAAAAAAAAAGTTACAGGCAAAAAAAAAAATTGCTCCAAAAAAATAGGTGCAATCACTTTTTCTCCTTGCTAGGTCCTACTGGCTATAACAGGGTTGGTATCCAACAAACCATGTTCCCTGCCTACCCCAACCTGAATCATAAAAATCCACCTGCAGGAAAAGGCCTGTACAACTGGGAGTAGGGAGGAACAGTGTGAAAAAGATGAAGACTCTTAGTGAAGATGTCTGCAAGAAGTGAAAAAATCTTTGACAAATTCTGTATAATTTTAGGGTGATTTAAGTTGCTAGTCTTGAATGTAAAATTTTTAAAAAAATATTTTATTGTGAATTATTATGTGATAGTTTACATGGGAGAACATTAGTTTTACATTCATCCTATCATATATCATTTCATTGTCATGGTTACAATCCCCTCCATGCATCATCAACCAACCTAAGGGTATATCTTAAAATGCCTGCCCCATCCACCCCCGTCAACATAAAATTTTTATTAAACTGAGTGAAATTAATCAGTCACAACAGGACAAATACTGTATGAGAGGCCTGTTGCAAAAAGTTAAGAAAAGGTTTTCTTCATAAAAGAAACACTATGGGGGAACAAACAAGATGGCGGATCAGGTGGAAGTGCAGTAAGGAGCTCCGCCAGCAACAACACAAAATACTCGACCAAGCAGGCTCAGGCGATGGTCCCAGAACTCTGAACCACACATAAAGGAATATTTAGAAAGTTGGAAGGCTTACAGCTGGGGGAGTTTGTGGCAGAAGCAAGAAATCCATTGCTTTCTGGTTCAGGATGCTCAGCTGCTCCAGGAGCTGCCATTTGTGTGGGGCCAAGTGGGGGAAAGATCGGAGCAGCCACGGATGCCTGACAGAGCCATGGAGATAGAGGTGTGGAGATTCTTTTCTTTTGGTATCTGTTCGTTGGTCCCTTGCTGTCTGTGTACCTCCGTTCTGGTAACTATAGGGGTGCCTGAGCTCGTGGACACCCCAGCCCCACCCTCAGAGGGTTCTACTACGCATGTGCACAGATCTCCTCAAAATTTAAAGAGACAACTTCCACTTAAAATCAAACAGTCACAGCCAGCCCTGAACTGTTTATAACTAGAAAAAAGGCCTGAACGGGGATTGTGGAGTGGGACAAGCAGCTAAAAAAGGAAATAGGCTGAAAATTAAATCCTAA